GGACCCATCAGACATTTTATTATATCTCTTTGCATTTTCATATCGTGTCTCTTTCCTCCATTGGAATATAATCCAATGAGTTGCAGGAAGTTTGTTTCACTCACTGTTATAATCTCTAGTGCCACTGAACAACAGTGCCTGACTCCTCACAGATGCTCTAAATTCTGGAGAATGAATAAATAATAGAGAAGGACAAGCTCATGGGTTGCGCATTCTAGCCTCCATCCTCATCCTTCACTTGCCCTGGCCAACTCAGGAAGACAAAGAGGATCATGGTGAAAAGGAAGGATCATTGGCTAAAGGCTGGGGAAGCCTAGTGCCTGGGCTTTTGCAGTCTGACAAGTATTCACTTTAGCAGTGTGGTTTGTGGATTAAGAGCATTGGCTTTGGATTCAAATCCCTTTTGAAACCCACTTTCTAACTGGATGTTTCTCAGAATTTAACTCCATCTTTCATAGCTTCCATTTCCTTCACTGTGAAATAATGAAAAGAATATCTACGTCCCAACATATCAAATGAGATGATACAAATAAAGCCAACAACAGAAGGAAGTTACCTTTATTGTCATTCAGGTGTTTGAGTCTCAGCTTTCCTGGAGTATAGTCATCATTATCCCAGTCTTCCCATCTCACTGAGGCCAGAGGGTAAAACAGAACATGGGCTGGAAGACTGTATGGAATTCCAGGAGCTGATTCTCAGAGGAAATTTCTGTTGAGAATACCGAGGTCCCAGCCTTGGCAATAACTTGGGGCAGAGTTTCTACAGCCCAGATGCTGGGTTGAGACAAGCCAGGGATAGAGCAGGAGGCTTCAGAAGTCCCTGGTATTTCCAGCTTTTGGAAAGACCTTGTAATGGATGTTTATTTTTTGTCTGTCTCTCCCCCTGTCCCCACCCCTTCCTTTTCCTGGTTCTTCTGGCAGTGGAATTCTTCCTTCCTAAGGAAGAGCCACAGCATAGGGCTACGGTTGGGCACATTCAGCTCTGCCACCCTCTCCCTACTTCCTGCCACAGGAGCCAGCACATGATCCAAGGGTGGCCAATCAGGTTACACCATGCCCCCAGCCACAGGGACTGGTTCAGTGATGGATGTGTAACTGGAGCTCAGCCAGTCAGTCTTCCCTGTGACTTTCCTGCCAGAACTATCAGAAAAGACTTGTTTGTTTGTCTGGGGTTGCTAAAGGGGAAGAATAGGAGGATACGAACATGCCGTCTTGCTACATAAAGAGCCTATTCAAGAAGAAAGTCAAATAGAGTCAAGATGTGGGGAGAGAAACACAAATGGGAAAAAAAAATAAAGATATGGGGAGAGAGACCCAGCTGCCACAGTTTGAACTTTTATAACCATCCATGTCTGAGGACAGCTCCATCTCTTCTGATGCCCTGTTATGTGACAATAAACCCCCTTGTGTGGCTTGGTGGCTTACTTGCATTAAGTTTCTGACTAACGCAGACCTACTCAGCATCCTCTCCACACACTCCTGCAAGCCTGGAGGCTGAGCTACTTGATCTTGCCTGTAGCTGCAGCCCCTGCCTTTGACTCCAAATCAGAACCTGGTTGTGAGGAGCTATGAAAAGCTGATCAGCCTCTTGTCTTATTTCCTCTGTTGGCAGCCCCTGCCTTGTACCTCCCTGTCTGTCTTCATTATCCTGGCCCATTGCCTTTTCAGCCAGAGTTATGGACAGCCTCTGAACCCAGAATCCCAGGGCCAGAATCCACCGCCTGTTGCTAATATCCTGAATATTACCTAAGCCTGTCTGGACTTCCACCTCTGGTCCACACCAGTCCTATTTGAGGCAAACTACCTTCCCCAGTCCCTGTGCACCATGGGTCTACCCATTTCACAGATGGTCAAACTGCCGTTATATCAACTTGAGGCCTCACCATATCATTTAAGGCAGCATTTCACAAACAGCCTTCAATAGATAGAACATAGCATGTCCTATGGGACTTCATTCAGTGACATGTAAATAGAGGTACCATTAGCATAGAGGGGAAAAGCAAAGTTGGCAATATTTTTCTTCAGTTTTATAATTTAAAATATAAACAATGGAAAAGCATTGTATATGGGGGTTATCTTCTAAAGTCAGCCTTTAAGGTAAAAATAGTGTCTTCTCAAAATTGTCTTTGGTAAATCCTTAAATTGTTCACAAAGCATAGGAAACAGACCTTCCACCTCCCAATGCATTCATCAGAGCCTCTTTTCCCTCCAGCTCTGGAACAAGTTGCTATTTTTCCAATTTTGCTCCAGGTGAAGGTGAAGGAGTTGGCTTATTTAAGGGGCGTGTTGGGTAGAAAATATTCACAGGTAACAACAAGAGATGCTCACTCTATGAGAAGCATGTGGGAACAGAGACTGACTGAGGGAACCCCACCTCACACTTACTCTGGGGCACCCAGTTGCTGAATCATTGCACTGTTTAAATTGTGCTCTCTCTCTCTGTGCTCCCTTGGAACATGTACAACTGAATGAGGGAATTAAATACATGTAAGATAAGATTCCATCATATGAATGAAAAATATTTATCATTATAAGGTGTTCTCATAATAATCTGTTCTTATACATACAATAATCTGCCTAAGACATTGCATGCTATGCCCAAGAATACCAGGAAACCACATCACCTGTTATGTGAAACTGTGACATATGATCTATGTATTAATTCATAAGGGAGCATTTGCTAACTATGCTCTTTATTATTGGTTCTGTGATATCTGGTCTAAGTAATGTGTCTCAATTCTAAAATAAGACAAATAAAATATTTGTTGTATAATAAACATATGAATCAAATAATGATAATCCCAATAATATTACTAAAAAGAAGAATTAACACTTGGTAAGGACTGGCCATATGCCAGGTATTTTTCACAGCAGCTTTACATTTATGAACTTGTTTAATTCTGACAACCATATTAATCCCCATTTTACAGATGAGAAAACCAAGGCTCAAAAAGATGAAGGATTTTTGAATCTACATTTTCAGATCTCAAATCCCAATTGTGGCCACGGTTACTTTGAGGGGCAAAGGAGAGGATGTTTGTGGAAGTATCTATTAATTCAAAAAGATTATTTAAAAAAATAGCTACTGTTTGTGAAGCTCTTACTGTATGCCAGACATTGGTAAGGGCTTGCCATGCCTTTTATTGTTTAATTATCACAACAACTCTATGAATAGATGCAGAAACAGGCTCAGAGAGACTAAGTGACTTGACCAAAGAAACTTAGCCAGGATTATAAAATAGGTTACCCTCAGCTAGTACAGTATACTGTTTCCCTGTATAGATGCAGGTTATCATCATTATCATCTTCATCACAAAGAACAAGGGGGCATTAGCCATTAGGTAGATATAAGTCAAAACCACAATGAGATACTCATTAGGATGCCTATAATCCAAAAGACAGACAATAGCAAATAATGGTGAGGATGTGGAGAAATTTGAACATAGATTTGCTGGTGGGAATATGAAATGGTGCAGCTGCTTGGGAAAACAGTTGGGTGGTTCCTTGAAAGGTTGAAAATGTGATCTACCAATTCCACTCGTAGGTGCATACCCAAGAAAACTGAAGACATGTTCATACAAAAATGTGTACACAAATGTTCATAGCAGCATCATTCATAATAGCAAAAAATTGGAAACAACTCAAATTTCCATTTGAAGTGGTATATCCATACAATGGAGTATTACTCAGCCATAATGAGATACATGTTCCAACATGGATGAAACTTGAAAACATGATGCTAAGTGGAAGAAGTCAGACACAAAGGATCACATGTTGCATGATTCCATTTATATGAAATATCCAGAATAGGTAAATCCATAGAGATAGAAAGTGGATCAGTGGGTGCCTGGAGCTGCAGAGGAATAGGAGGATTGAGAGTGATGGTTAAGGGTGTGGGGGTTATTTTGATTGTTGAGGTGATGAAAATATTCTAACATTGATTGTGGTGATGCTTTGCATGACTCTTTGAATATACTAAAAACTCCTGAATTGTACCCTTTAAAAGGGTGAACTGTACGGCATCTGAATTATATTGCAATAAGCTGTTAAAAAAAAAAGAGCGTCTTCCTGACATTGAGGAGTATGTAAAGTTACATTTACAAGTCTGGTCCTATTCCTCCCCCTAAGCAGTGATGATTCAGATAGATGCCAGCATTATCACCAGGCGTGCCCTGAATCCTTGCCTCCTCCCTGGGAACCCAGGGTGTAGCCCTGTGTTTTCCCACCTTCCCCAGGCATGCCCTGCCCAGCTCGCCGCCCTGGCAGGCCTGGGTGAGAACCCAAAGCGTCACACTGCCTTCCCGTGGCTTCTTCCTGCAGCAGACTGGCACTGCTTCCTCCCGCCTGCTGCTTCCTCCCCCATCACTACCCACCAGCTTGCTGTGAGCCTCATGTCTCAGATTTTAAAACCATTGGGGATTCAATATGTGCACCAGAGGCTGCACCTTGGGGTTTTCCATGCCGTTAGCCACTGCAGAGATTTAGGGTCATCCCCACACCCCACTTACCTAACGTAGGAAAAGATTATCATATGAAGGAACCACTTGATGGTGCCATAATTCATGCTCTGGATCCGGGTGACTTTGTTTGTCTCATACTGGAAAACATCGTTCCAGCTGCAGCAGGCAGACATGGTGAGAGGCTCGCTCTCCACTCAGGGCTGGACCAGGGCTCAAACCTCCCAGGCAGGCCACAGCAGACCCACCAGTAAGAGGGAAATGAAACGTCCTGATTCTTAGCAGGATCCTTTAAGTTTGAGTTCCTCCAATGATGACAGAGTTGAGGGGCGGGCCCTGGCAACTGCCCCAGATGTGGCTGAGAATAAACAAGAAAAGCCAAGTCCTAAAGCCCTGGCTGGCAGATGATCCCGCCCCAGCTGGCCTCCCCCAGATGCCTGCACAAAGATAGTGTTCAAAGGAAGGGCATTTTAAGAATTCAGCTTTATCCACTTTTTCTTTCAATTTTTTTTTGACTCATTTCAGTTGGGTTAAAGGGGCACCCCTTCAAATGTCAGGAGACCCAGTGCTTCCATTGTGCCTCAGTAAAGAGCCTAGATCTTTCCATTGCCTCAAGCCCCACTCAGAGGCTGATTGATTCATTTCTACAACCCTTTATTCAGCCCCAGATGTGTGTGAACTCTGCATCAATGAAGGTCTCCCCCTCCTCCCTCCCTCACTTCTTCACTCTGGTCTGTAGACAGTGGGTGGAATTAGATTTGCTGTGGGCTGAGGTGGGGGAAGGACTTTATTTCTATGCTGGATGTTTTCTGCCTGACCCTCTAGATCCATTTTCCACCCAGCTCTATGCCCTGGGAGGTCGACCCATGACCTAGCCCTGTCAGCCTAAGACCATCAGAAACAAACGTGCCATCCAACAAAAGTAAGTTTATTGACCCATTCAATGAGGGAGAGTCCATCACCAAACAAAGGGATAGAGTTATCATCGGATTCTGGGGAAGGTGGAGTTTCAATTCAATTTAAATAAAAGCAATGCGTTACTTTTTTAAAAAAAGTATGTATGCATTACCTAAAAAAGTAATATGTATGTATTACCTAAAAAAGTAATATGTATACATTACTTTAAAAAGTCACTGATTGATTTTTAAACATCTGTATCTGCAGACCAAACCTGCCTTTTGAGCTCCAAACCTGCAGCCCATGAACCTCCAGGCCTAAATAGACCACAGACACTTCAAATCACAGCTTCAAAATCGAACACATTCCCATAAAATAATAGTGCAAGTAAGGCCTAATGAGAGCGAGAGAGTGGAGCCAGTAGACGTGGGATACTTTTCCGGTAAGCTTGGCTATGAGAGGACAGAGGGAAGGGTAGTTTTTAATGAGGGACATTGGAAACATTGGAGCCGTTGAATGAGATTCAAAGTGGAATGTCACGAATAATGGTCTCTGTTTCTTTGTGAAGTAGAAACTCAAGTCTTGGGTGAATTTCTTAGTCAAAGCTGTGTGTGTGTGTGTGTGTGTGTTTCTGACTAAAAGTCGTAAGAATCAAGTGATTTTCTTCAGCAGAAAGGAAGGTTCTTTTTGTTGAGGAAACATTATCTCACAGAACTCAAAGGCATGAAATGTGGCCCAACATCGCAAGAAGCTATCAGTAGAATAGGAAACTAAAATGTCCTGCGCTAAAGTTGCTCTTTCAATTTGCCTGAAGCTGTGAGGTCCCGCCTCTGCCTGTCTGTGCACCCGCCATGTGTCTCTAAACACTGAACCTCTCTGCTTCTCTGTGGGCATGTGGCCAGATAGGTCTATCATGGGTAGGTGTCCAAAGTTCAAGTGAAAGCCCAGATCAACCGCTCAATTCCAGAATCCCAGGGGAGTGGATGTGATTGGTTTGGCTATTTACCTCTGGTCCAATCAGCTATGGCTGTGGGCGGGGCCACAGAACAAATATGGCGCCAGGGACCCTTTGTTGGTGAGGAATGGGAGGGGATTGGAGGCGAGGGAGGAAGGTAAAAAAGGAAGGTGTGAGAGAGAAAGGTGTGGCTCTCAGAGAACAGAGGCGCCTAAACTGGGGGACTCTGGCTTAATACCCTAGCTCCTTTCAGTGGGACAACTTGGAGGTAGTGTAAGAAGTCTCCCAGAGGTCCCTAGTGGGATTGGGCCCCAGGTGCCCACAGCAGTGACTTGCTCTTGAATGCTTCCAGTACTGGCTGCCTACCCTTCCTTCCCTGTGCTACTTCCCCACTCCCCTTCCTGGCCTCTCCTCCCAGATAAGCTCCTTGCACCCGAATCCTTGTCTCAGGGTCTGCTTTGGGGAAACCCAGTCTATTTCAGCCTCCTGTGCTGTTGCTAAGGAGTGAGGAATTTATTCTGAGAGAAATAGGTGGGTTTATAAGCAAAGTTGCTGCGTGATCTCATTTGCATGTTAGTAAAATCCCTCTGGCTGTGCTGCGGGAAGTGGATAGGAGGGGCAAGGGTGGAGGCCAGGGGTCTCCCCAGGGACAGGATGTAGTGATATGGAGGGGGACTGGGGGCAGATCCCTGAAGAATCCAACACCAAGGAGGCTAAGCGGAGGCATCAGGAAGGTAGAGGAAAGCAGGCGGGATGTGTTGGGGGTTGTTGCACTCAGAAGCCAACGGAAGAGCCGTTCACAAATAAGCCAGTGGCCACAGGAGCTATTAAGAGCGATTATAATGTTGCAGAATTAAAGGGCAGTAGTGAGGAAACTGACAGGTAAATTAATGGAACAGGAGAGAGTCAAGTATTAAATATAAAGATAGGTGGGGACTTAGTGTGTGATAGAAGTATTTAAAATCAGAGGAGAAAAAAAATTACTCAAAATGCAATCTCAGAGCAATTGGCCAGCCATTTAGAGGAGGTCAGTGGATGGACGGGATGTGGTATCCTGATTTTTCATATTTAAGATGTGTGT